AAGTATTCTCTTTTTCTACTCAGAACCCAAAAATAGTTATTTCAGGTCTTGTCCATTTTGCCAAATGACTATTTGCGTTTGTCACTGCTGTCAATTTGCCAGAGTAACCTATGCATTTTTTTCATTGGTCTCCTGGATCTCACATAATCCTGTTAATTTCTGGACTTTGTCTTCATAACTATCATCAGAGAGATTTAATTCTGATAGAAAAACAGAGCAAGTTATCCAAAGACTTGTTTCTCTTGTCCCAGTGGACAGCTTTGTTAGGTGCCAAGTATCTTGTATGGAGACTAGAAACGTCGGATACAGTGAACACATTCAGTAAGATCTTTATCACTGAAGATAATCAGTGATTACTTCATTCTGGATGGTTATTCAACCTATATCTAAATTACAGCAACAAAGTTTGTGCTGCAAGATCAAACTGATGACCTATGGTACTGTCAGATGAATGATTCTCATCTGTAGACAGTCCTTTAGCATACTTGGTCCTGTTTTGGTATTCCTGAACCAGTCAAATTGTTCTCCTTTCCCACTTGGTAGCTTGTATTTAGATACAGTTCTGATATTAGTCTGCTTTTTATCTCTAAAAGAGCTGTGAAATTGGATATCCATTTCTTCTACATTTTGTAAAGTAAAGATTAATCTCTACTTCTCTGAAGGAAGGACTAAACAATATGGGTTTCTAACAGTTGTTTTTCAGATAGTGAAAGAACGAAATCTGTAAGAGAAAATAGTGTTCCAGATGATTTACCTGGAAAATGTCTGAAGTAAGTGGGAAGACTTTGTCCATTCTGTAATGGTCAGAAGGAATTTGAAGAAAAATTTGAGAGAGACACCCGCTTTCTGAGATAATACCAACCTTCAGTTGTAGTGTTGTGTCTGGCTTTTGATGGGGAGGAAAAGTAGACCAATAATTTTTGAAGGAAGAGGGTCTTGTTGGAAGGAGCTGGCTAAATTCTTTACCTTTCCTAAATGGAAGAAATCATAACTGTGCTGAAGATGGTCAGAAGAGGGTTTGAAGACCCTGGGGTCCCAAGAAGATGAAAATTTATTTGGCTAGAATGAGCCTTAGTTATTTTAAATTACAACATTCCTAAAATACAAAAAAATCATCATTATCTCCATTCCAGTAAGCTCAGGGTGAGCAAAACAACATTTTATATGAATTTTATCTTTAATAAATCTAGAAAAATTAAATATCAGTTTGTGCCCAAAACAATTCTGTTGAGCTTTGTAAAGTGGCTGCAGCTTGAAGCAGTTATAACCCTTTGGATTCAGGAGGATATATTTCTAATTGTCATGTCTCTTTTACAGAAAATTACAGAATTTCTTTCATCTTCCTTGAAAGAAATATAGCAAATGCATCAGTTCAGTGCACTGTGCCATAGTGCCTCAGTATTTACCTTAAGAGGGAGGAATTTAGTCTCAAAGTCTGCTCACTACTAAGATTCTTATGGTAGTATCTATTGTAATACAAGTAGTCTAATAGCAGCCTGTGCAGCAGATTCTTGTGCACTTAGCTAAATAATTATATAGGCATTACATAGTGGCATACTATGTAATAGTGGCATACATATAATAACTAGAACTAAAACAAATATAATATTACTCCCCAAAGTAACTTTTTCAGTATAAATAAATGAATGTAAACACTACTTATGAAAATTCTGTGTACACATACGTTTTCTTTTTCATTGTAAGTGGAAAGAGTGAGAATGTATACCTCTGATTCAGTAATACTCCAATCAAAAACCTGTCATTTGGAACTTAATGATTTTTCGAATTTCTTGGTAATTATGAAATGCTGAAAGACAAAAATGCAATAATTGATTTCATAACATAGTGCAAATATAAATGTCAAAAGTTAGTAAGATCTTTTTCATTTTACAGGCCAAATGGGAATGCAAAATGCTACTTAGTGAAATGATTTCACAATAACCTTTTCTGTCTCAGGTGGTGCATCTCCTTAGTAAGGGAAAACTGTTCATATGTTTACCTGCTGAAACTGCCTTTTCACCAGTTAAGGGACATAGATTAAAAAGCTTTATTTATAGCTCATATATTATAAAGTTCATATATTAAAAAGCTCTAGAAGTAGCTTGGGCTCTTAATATTCCGTGTCTCAGTGAAACTCTGCAACACAGACTCTCATCTGGTTGAGTTGCTTTAAAAAAATGATTTAGGTTTCTAAGTCAGTATAACATTTTTATTTTTGTCTTTTCATTTGAGTCATAGGCCTTAATCACATATCAAAGCAGGTTCAAATCAGAGTTAACATTAGCATCTGGCTAATGTTTATACCAAAAGGGAACAAAGGAAAGGGAAGTGGTTAAAACAATTGGACTATTGCAAAGTATGACTCTGTCTTTATAAAAAGTTCGGTGATGCATTTGTCATTTTGCTTTCTATCAACTTGTAATTGCTACTTCAGTTAGAGATCAAACTATTGAGAAGATGGTAGGACAAAATAAATAATACCTGATTTTTATATATTTTTATGTTTATATCTCTTTCAAATCTTTCTTTCCATTTCAGATTTTTAATCTGACTCATGTAGAAAGAAGACATCGATTATCTTATTGTAGCTTTTTGTTATCTGAAACCACTTACAATTTAAACATATAATGAAAACATTTTCTCTCCAAAATGCTGCCAGCTCTAGAATAAATACTGCAGCTACTTTACAATATAACTACCAAAAATTTGGAAGTAAAATTTAAAACCCTGGAAATAATTTATAGCAGGCAAAAGGAAACTTGTAAAATTGGACTGCATCATTTTTGTCTGTGGGGGTATTAATGGCTGGAGAGACAGGGAGTCTTACCTGTCTGTAACAATTAAAGCTTTGTCAGTAGCTATACTAGGAATTGTAATAGATTAGAATCACATTGTGAAAAATTCTGGATTTGACAATAAATTCCTTGTAGTTGTCAAATAATGGTTGAACATAAAGATATAAAATTGTGCCTTCACTAATGCAGAACACCTACAGCACACATGGAGAAGAAGCGAGAAGAGTGCTACTAACCTCTCACTTGTTATTGCTCAGTTTGCATCTGTGTAAATGAACGAAAATTGGTTCTTTCTATTAATATTTAATATTCATCAATATATGATTATAAAAACAAATACAATTATGTCTATAACAAGCAAATAGCTGAAACATTTTTGGCAAAAGGCATCTTATTTTTCCTTGGAAGGGACAGTCTATTTCTGGTAAGGAAGAATATTTGCTGCCACCTTCTGGACTTTAATATTACAGTTTTGAAGAAGGTCTTAGAACATGAAGCCTGACTTACTTGTGAATAAAAGTTTGAAAAACAAGTGCAAAGTTGGTCCTAGTTTTCGACCTTTCTATTTTGTATTGTCAATGAAAGAGTTTAAAATTAATATTAAATGAAGACTGTGTTTTCTTTTTTTTTTTTTTCTTCTAAAATCAAATCAAATCAAAACTATATTGAATGTATTGTGATTCTTGAAAGTCATGGCACTATTGTTTCTGAACATTTCCAAATTATCCAATTCCATATAATTTTCTTATCAAATATTCCAAAACAAAGTCTTCAGCCTTGTGTGTTGTTTTTTGTTTGTTTGTTTGTTTTTCCTATTTACTTCATCCCAGATGATTCAACCATCTGACATACATTTTAACCAAGTGAACCCATATGGCTCAACAATTTGAAGGAGTGAGAGTAGGGAAATGACAAAAAACGCTAGCCTCCTTTTCCTTGAAAAGCAGTACTGCTACTTCATGCTTTAGAATTGTTCTGAGACTAATCCTCTTTGTGTCTGAAGTGTATTCAGACTTGCCTATTTATATCCAAGCTGAGAACATTTCTGTAATTTTAGTTAATACTGGCTCAGCAGGAAAGTCAGGCTCAGTAGGAACACCTTATCTGATGCTCAGATAGTTCCTGAGAGCTCAGGACAGCACTGATACTCTGTTAGGCAGTGGGATTCTATTCATTATTACAACTCTAAGCTGCTGTATGTCGTGAAATGTCTGGGCACACACAGAAGAACAAGGAGATAGATCTTCTGCTTTCTCTGCCTGTCTAAACTGCAGGCTTTGTCTGTCTCCACAGGAGAAGTCACTGAGGTGTACTACAGCTCCTGCACTTGCTGCACAGTTCAGTTTTCATTCACAAAAAAAGTACTGCGTGTGGGAGTATGGTGCATACCCACATGTCACAACACTGGGACTGAACACAAGGCTGCACGCTGACTGATCAGGACTGAGGTGCACTGCAGAGCATTATGCCTCTTGGCAAAGCTCCAGAGCTCCTGTTTGGCCCCAGCAGCTTCAAAGGGGAAAGCACCTGATTTAAATACGGAGCAGCAAGAAGCGGAATTTCAACAGGGTGGAAGAAACAGGCAAGGGAAGGACAGAGAAGAGGCTGGACAAAACAAAAACAGGATATAGGAATACTTGATGCAGAAGGAAAAACTGTATTCAGCACTGGCTTGGAGAGTGATGAGAATAGGTATTGATGGCCAAGATTCCCGAGTTTGGATGAAAAGATAAAGGAATAGAAAATTGACCTGTGTAGCTCTCAACGAGGCTACGATTTGGAGACCAGGACAAGAAAGAGATAAGATGAAGAAATGGGGCCATGAAGTCACACTGGGGGAAAAGAACCTGTGCTGATTACTGTGTACTTTCCTCTAGAGCTCCAGAGAAATTTAATCCCTGGAAGAATGGAGTTTGTCCTTCCTGGATCTCACTGATGTCAGAAAAGACTGCAGAGCCACACCAGAAAGCTGTGCCATCCTCCCAGTGGTGGCTCACAGCCAGATGTCAACATGCACTTGCTGCCATTTACTGTAGTAGCATGATGGCAATTGTTTGGGGTAGTTCAGGCTATGTTGGAGGACCTTGTTGGTTACAGTGTGCTATATAATAGTTTCTGGGGTTTGGTTTGTTTCAAAAAAAACCTTGGGTCTTTAACACACAAAGTTACCTTGAAACAATGCAAGTAAAATTGGAAGGTCAAATATTCAAAAGCATCATTGGCCAGTGCATATGCATTTTTATTACATTTCAGGGCTTCTGCCCCATCCAGTGCAATTTCAGGGTTTCCTTTAGCAAATACTATGATTATATGGTAAAGGAGTATATTCTGTGAAAGATGCTTTCACTGGGTGGATTTCAGTGCTGGTCACTCAGTATTCCCTTCTCTGGGCTTCCACCTGGAGACCTGTAACCTGTGAATACTCATGGACTGATGTTAAGGAGAACCATGCTTTCGATATATTGACTAGTTCTTATATGATCTGAAGATGCTGAATGTCTTGAACTGGGCACCCAAGGCTACTGAGTTTCCTAATATCAATGCTTCCATCTTCATTTACTCATTTGTAAAATGCAGTGGTGTAAAAATATATTACAGCTTCTGAATCAGTCGGATACTAACAAAAAAATCTATGAGGAAATAAATAATTCTGTATGAAGAGCATACTTTCAAGAGCGTACATTAGATAAGAAACAGTGCTAAGCACAGAACAGTGTCATTACAAATCAGTGAAGAGCTATTCATCAGTTGAGCAGTACCATTCTGTGCCCCGAATTGAGTTAGGAGTTCTATGGGGAAAAAAATAAATAAGCAAGTGATGATGTGATTACAGGTGGTTTTGTCACACAAATGCTTGAGAGGGCTGAAATTAGGTGACACATTCGTTTCAAGTGCCTCATTTTGCAATCTAAACAGTAGTGTTTAAGATTGTGTTTTTTAATAATTGTATATACAGAAGGGTCAGGCCCTGGCTTTGGTAGCTTTCCTTTAGCAGGACCAGGTTGGTCTAGTTTCCCTACAAACCATCTCTCTGAAAGTAATCTTAGGATGAGGAAATATATCTGAAATGCTTACAGCTGTGCAGCAGAGTACAGCACAACTGCAGATGTATATCAACATAACAAGTCATGTTGCTCCTTCTCATTTTGTGGAATCATTTGAAATTTTAATGGAAAGCCATCATGAAAAAAAAATAAAAAATCTCATTTGTCATACTTCTGCACTTTCTGATATCCGCCAAAGAAGAAGAAAGAAATTATGTGCCAATGTTTTCTGAAGAAATTCACAGCCCACTTTTCAGTTCACAAAAGATTCTTAGGTAGTAAGGCTAGGACTGGCAGAAATACCCACATATACCTAAATGTGGTTATTTAACCAAAGAAAACAAAACTGCAGACAGATACTGAGGTTTTCTTGTCACCACATCTTCAACTATTTAGGGCTGCTTAAGCTCCATTTTTAAGCTATAGACCTGATGGGGGAAAATTACCAAAATTCCAGGAAGAAATCTAAGTGTACCCAGATGCCCATCCTTTAGTTTTGCTCCCAGTAGTAAAGCCATATACCAACAACAACCTGCACAGTGAGACTGTGAGAAGTAGCATTCTCACAGATCAAAGAAAAAATCAGTGGCAGTTATTGATGTTTTTCTCAATTAGGAAAAAAAAAAAAAAGTGTATTTTCTCTAGAACTTTCTTTAAATTTTGAAAATATTTGTCTATAGGCTGTTCCTGTACAGAAACCATTGATTCTGATATAAGTATACTGAATTCTTGGCTTTGAAAACAAGTAAAGCTCATAGTGAAATGAGTGAGAGTGGTGCTCCCTGGCAGCCTTTGTAACCCAACATGTGTTACGGTGGTTTGGCGGGTATTTTATTTCCATAATGTTCCTTCTTTTCTTCTGTATGTTCTGAATTTCTTAAAATAGTCAATCTCTTGTTTTGGGTTTATGTGGAAACGTCAAGAGTAGCGCTCCATCTGTTCAACAATTTAGTCTTTATGCCTAATTAGAAATGGCCTGTTTACTTTTGTAGCAACATATCTTTCCATTGTCAGAGTTATGTTTTTAAGATGTCTGTCTCAAACCATACAATATAATCAAGGATTCTTGTTTAAAAACACTACTGATATATTGATTGCCCTGCACACAAGACTTCATCTACTTAGTCCATCTGTAAGCATGGTTTGGTAAGTTATTTTTCTCATAGCGGCATTTCCTCAGCCTAAGAGAGTGAACAGTTACTGTTACAATATACTTCCATGTAACTTTGTGAAAATTTCACATGCATTGAAATTAAAAACATTTTGTCAAGATCATTACAAACAAGAATATATTTTTTTCCTCTGAAAACCGCAGAGTAATGTGAGACTTGATTAGCATGGTATAAAAAAAATAAATAAAAAACTTTTTGCTGGCCTTACTTAAGGAAGCCTCTGTTTAAACCATGGAAATATCATTATGTGGTTAGTCTCCGTTTATAAAGGAAGAGGAGAATCTGTCTCCGTAAAGATCCTTCCAACACATACCACTAAGCTTCAGGATTACTGTTTTAATCATTTGATAAGAAACCTAAAGTGCTTCCTGTAGTAAGCATCCAACCTGAAAAGCACTTGCCAAAACATTACCCTTCCCTTTTATAATTACATGCAAAAGTAAAGTTTAGGATAAAATAAGAGCAGTCATTGTCATGGGTACTATGAAGTTGTAAAGGTAGCACCAAGTGTGTCATGTAAATACCAGGTCACGTATTTTCCCAAGAAATCTACCAGCAGTAAGTTCAGAGCTTCTGAATCCACAGTTTTTTAAATATCTTGTCATCAAGTTTCTTCTTTGCATAACATTTCTCTTTCAAGCTGAATAGATTCATTAAAAAATAACATTATGCCAAGCTGTGAAATTAAGGCTTGCACTTGCCATGCCGAATTCACAACGCGATCAGTGGAATCTCCTGGACGTTTTACTTCAGGCAAAGTTGTATCATGGTTGGTTAAAAAAAAAAAAAAAAAAAAAAGAAAAAGTAATATTGAAAGGGCAGATCTTTTTATAACCACTCGCTTTGTGTTCTGAAAGCTAGGAAATCTGGATAAGGATCCTGGAAAAAGAGAGGAGAAAGATTTTGCAAATTGTTAGTTGCAAAGAGTGGTGTTGTTTCACTGGTATTTCCCTACCTCGTGGTGTACAGAGGATTCCCACAGAAAGGCTGGAGCAGCGGGACATGCTGGAAAAGCTGGTCCTGTGTTGGGGTGTTGGCCCGGCTACGTGGTAAGCAGTGCTCCTCCCAGATCACCTCATCTGGTATCCAGTTCTCTTTACACTTGCATCCCACCGCTGATGGGCATTTCTCTCTACTATCTTACATCGGAGTTCACTTCAGCACTTTCAAAAACTGTCATGTATAGGAGCTATCTGGGATAATATGTTTGTATATCTTTTGCCTCTCAGAGCAAATGTCTATTGATAGGGTCGGCTTTTTTTTTTTTCTCTTTTTTTTAAAACCTCTCTTTTCTCTTTTTCCTGGCCATTAGCATTTCCATTTTTACGCAATATCTTTTTGTAAGTAGACGAAAAAAATCATGCCCAGTGATATGAGCACTCTGTCATCCAAGAACAATCTAGCAAATTTCAACAAAAAGCTTGAAGTTGTCAGTGCAAAATAATTAAGCCCTTCTTTCTGATTGTTTTCTTCTCTTGTACCTTCAGTATTTCATAAACCCGTGACAGATATTTTATCCTTTGCAGTCTCTGCTCTGGAGTTTTCTCCCTGTTGCTTGGCTCCTTCTAACCCTAGCAGTTTTTTCTCTCAAAATTGCTGCTCTGCCACTTAGCAGTAACTTTCCTATATGAACCGTGTGCCAGCCTCTCACTTCCTAATTGCTGGAGCCTGGTGATACCTCAACCTCATAGTATCCATTTACTTCAAATACAAATTTACATGAATTCTAGACATTCATTTTAGGATGAATAGTAACAGCACTCTGCCAAAAGGAAAACTCATTGATGCATGATTGCTGTGGTGACAGCAAAATGGGTCACAACACTTTCAGGGCTGATTTTATGTTTTGATTCTGTCTCAGATAAAGTTAGGTATATTTTGGGTCAGTGCAGGAAGACTTTGGATCAAAAATGAACTGAAACATTTTGGTGGCTGATATTTTAATGGCATTGGCTTAATCTCATAGTGAATTGTCTGTGCATCTAGGAGAGAAATGAGCGTTCCCTACTGCACACCTTGCTGTGAGTGTATTATAAAGTCCCAGTCCATCAGCCAGGTGCTTTTGGAATCAAGTGGCTTATTGTCACTGGATATTGTCACGTCCTAGGACACTGACAATATTATTCCTTCCATAAGAGAGCAGAAAGCAAGAGGATGAGACATACTTTTAAGAGATGGTATTGTTTACTCTGTAAGTGTTCCTACAGAAAATAATATTTGAAATATCTTTCTGTTTGTTCTTTTGCCAATCAGGAACTCGGTAAGAGTAGTTTCCCTGGAGAAAGGGAGAGAAGCTAAGCTGTTGTGTTTTTTTTTTTTCAATAAATAAATGTTGTTTCTTATTTTTGCTACAAAAAAAAATAACTTCTTATTTAAAAGCTATGCATCTCCCAAGACAAAACTTTTAAATTCAGGTTTTATAAAGAGCAGTTTATAACTGAATTATGGAAAAGCTGTCTTGATTGTGAGATCTAAGTTGTGCAGTGCATGGGCTTTAGTATGGGCTATAATCAAATCTGATAAATGCAACATAAAGAACAAATAGATCCTTTAATGTGAAGATATTAGAAGTATTGTTATTAGGGGTGGCCTAAAATTCTATGGTATATATGCGTACAGAGTAAGCACGACAATTGTATTTTGGAGCTGTGTCATATTATATTATAATTTCTAAAAACTTTTTGAAAAAAAAAATATAAAGGTTCATTTTTCTCTCATAGAGAAATTTCAGATGGCTTCTCTCTGTGCAAACAGTCAATTTTCTTGCCATTTCATCTATGCTTAATGTCATTTTTACCTTTTAATTAGGACTCAAGGCAGTGAACAGCTTAACTTTCCTATACATATCTGCTTCATGAGAGATTACACCTTGGATAAAACTGTTATTTTAAGTAGGCCAGTCTTCTGAAATATTAATAAGAATTACAGACTTACCTGATTTGTAAAAATCTTGAAGGCAAGTTGGATCCAAGCACTATGCATGTAGAATGGTGTATGTATAGGGTATTGAATTCAGACTTGGTCTTTCAATGGGATTTTCAAAAGATCTTGGTTGAATTAAGAGAACTACTGTCACTAGGGCTTTTGCTTTTAACTCATATTCATGCCTTAAAAAGCCCTTCTGTCATTGCTATAGGCCATACAAACACCTGTATTTGAGTAACAGCAAAAAATCCAAATCTGATCAAGATCCAAATTTTTAACATAATTTCCTTTTCTTCTGGACAAGGTAAAGAGAAGATAATAGCTAATCGCTTCGTTCTGTACTGCGATTACAGAAGCTGGCTTTATGTTTATAGTTGTCAGCATATATATTGTTTAGACAACATTCTAAGTAAAATTGTGGTTTGTGCTGTTAATGAAAGAAATAGCTAAATGATTTTCAAGTTGATAATTAGGATAATAATGCGTATTATTTCTTACATGGAAAGTGGCATGTAGGCACATATACATTAGATTTCAGTAATCCACACATTTCATACAGGATATTCAGGAGATGGTGACAACCTCCAAAAGTTACTGACCTGAGTGTGATAGAACCTGGTCACCACGCCAGGTAAGGCATACATTTTATCTTTGTGTTAACAAGATGTATCTTGTTAGTAGCCATGTGCATCAACCTCAACACTTGTGTGAAAGTACAAAACTGCTAAAAAATTCCACATTAGGGAAATATTCTTGAGGTGGTAAGGTGAACAAGTACAGAAGTGTGATTATAATTTGCAGGTGTATTTTACAAGAGGAGACTCTAGGCAAACACATGTAAGGCAACATGAGGCTGTCTGAAAGGGATTACATTTCTATGTATATCTCTAGTAGCACAACCCTTATCTTTGGCAGGGTATCTTTATTCCAAGAAAGGAAGGGAAGGGAAGGGAAGGGAAGGGAAGGGAAGGGAAGGGAAGGGAAGGGAAGGGAAGGGAAGGGAAGGGAAGGGAAGGGAAGGGAAGGGAAGGGAAGGGAAGGGAAGGGAAGGGAAGGGAAGGGAAGGGAAGGGAAGGGAAGGGAAGGGAAGGGAGAAGGAGAAGGAGAAGGAGAAGGAGAAGGAGAAGGAGAAGGAGAAGGAGAAGGAGAAGGAGGAGAAGGAGAAGGAGAAGGAGAAGGAGAAAGGGTGAAAAGGGAAAGGAAAGAGGGGAAAAGGGAAAGGAAAGAGGGGAAAAGGGAAAGAGAAGGGGGGAAAATGGAAGGAGAAAGGAGATTTCATATTAACAGAATTACATAGAAAACAGATTTCCCTAAAAAGATACTGTCAGTCTATATATATAAGTGAAACAAAGCAAAACATAACAGGAAAAAACAACAACCAAACCAAAGAAAAGAAACACAAACAGGCAGAGAAGAAAGGGACAAATTTAATGGTAGAAGAAAAATATAGATACTGACAGTGAAAAACAGATTGAAGGGAGATCTCCAGAGGATTAAAATATTGCTACTCTGTTTCCAGGCAAATGTAGTGTAATTCTTTGTTGAGTTTTCCAAACTATTTTCTTCAAAATTTCCCATCCGTGTCCTGAATTTTAAGAGAGAGGTGGATCACATGGTCATTTTCTTCTAATGCAGTCAGTATCCCAGTCCAAATATTAACAGAGAGAATGAGATTTTGGAGGTCCAAAATTCAAAGTGATTTTTGTTGACTTGCTTCCAATCTGCATTTTATATGTCCAACCAAATTACTATTTTTTCAAACTTAACTGCTGTTTGAGTTACCTTCATGGGACCAAACTAAGATTTTTTTTCATACTGGGGAATGCTTTCTTCATTGAGACAGATAGTTCTACAAAATCTTTGTGCACCACTATGATATAAAAGATCCATATTTGTGTCTGTAGCTTGCTGGATCATAACTTAAACAAATATGCCAACAGATTCTGCTGCCTTTACTCACAGAGTGATGTTCTAATCTTATTGCACATCTCTAATCATGTTGCACATGGGATGGATTTTGATACCCTTACTTGTGTCAAACAATGTTTTGTTTCAGACCCAGCACTACTGATGTAAACGAGGCTCTTTACAGAATAACATGATAAACTGTTCAAATATAGGCCCTTGATTTCAGCAAGATGTATTCATTGCAGTATTATACAGTAGGTTTCAAGACTACAGACTCTTAAGAATTTTCTGCAGTAGCAGTATTTCAATCCTTTGTACTGAATACAAGAAGTAAAAGGGGAAAGTATAATAAGACCAGAGTAAAAAGATTTAAAGTGGGAAGAAGAACTGTAAATCCCAAAGTGAAATTAAAAAAATGTGTATGACAGACCAATAGGAAGACATGGCACTATTTATGATTTACTGTTAAGTGCTAATTTTTGTGGCATACACTACTCTGGTTGTAAGAATCTTGAATATATGTATCCCTTCAGTTCTCCATCACTGTGCTTTCACAAGAAACTATTGCATTACATTGCAGCTGCAAAACCCATCTCACCTCTCTGACCTATATTTTTAATTTAGTAGTTTCTATGTTAAACGCTGGATTCAACACAAACTTCAGCTCAAAATATGTCTGCGCTTGGGATGTCAGATTTCCCCAAAATGGGAAATCTTAGCGATTTTTCCAGCTGTCTTTCCACCTCCTTTAAATTATTCTTCTGCAGAACACTCTAGCATCTCTTATAGCACATTCTCTGTGAAATCACAGAGGCAATTCATGATTTTGGATCACAGCTGATCCACATAACTTACAAACTAAGCCCCTGACTGATCAATCAGATTCTTGTGGAAGGACCTTTGAGCCAGGACAGATTCTGACTGAATTCAGTGGGGTTCTGTACATACCCAAAGGTCTATCCAGCTCTATTCTGCAAGTGATCAGTCAGAGTCTAATACTTTACCTATTTTATACTATGTATGTTAGTAATACATGTTACTATTAGTATCATTTAATAAGGCACTTTAGAAAAAAAAAAAAAAAAGTCCTCAAATCCCTAGGTCATTAGGACATAATTGGTGAAGGAGTCTGCTCCAATTGGTGCAGAAAGAAAGCTCTTTTCTATTAGTTTGACATGCCAGGAATACTGCTTACTGTTGTTTGTGTTGTAGTCATCTTAAAGCAAAAACCTAGTGTCCTGCTTACTTAACACAATGGTGTGAATTTATTGCAGGATGTTATGTGTATAAAGCATCTGATATTATGCTTAAATATCCTAAAATTGTTTATCTATTTTGATTCCTTAAAAAAGTTCAAGTATTTTGGACCCAGATTTGAGGTGATATATCTGAAGTTATTAAGTAAGCTAAGGAATACTACTGGCACTCTTTGTGTGCCCAGTTACCACTGCAAACAATTAATGCATGGCAAGCAAAGTGGACACTAAGTTTCAGCTGTAAGGTTTACTCTTCAATAATTGATGGCTTCCACACCTGTGCAGTGACGCCAACTTTCTTTGCTGAAAATTTTGGCCTCGGAGCAGTAAACAAAGAGGAAGTGGTTGTTTCCGGCTTAGAAAATGCAGAGTAGCCTGTAGATGAATAGGACTCATTTACTGGGGTAGAGGCGTTTGACTGGTATGAAGGCTGCGTGCTGTAGGCTGGCACGGAGTACACTGAAGATGCCCGAGCATTAGTAGGAGAGCCAGCACCAGGTGGTCGTAAAGACAGAGCTTGCTTTGAAGTAGGCAGCTTTGACGTCTGCTTAATAGCTAGGCTTTCCTTAGTACTTGGAGGTTGAAAAGTAAATAAAGACGCATCAAGTTGATAAGGCTGATGTTTCATAATATCCAAAGCATTGAGACCTTTCTTGGGTTTTCTTTTGGTATTTTTGGTAGCAGCAGCAGACTTAGAGGAAGGTTTGGTAGCAGCAAGAGGATAAGATGGGCTGTGGATGGGATTGTAAGCTACAGGTGGAGGTGCTCGGACATTAGATGAATATTTCCAAGAAGCTGGTAAAGATGGAGTTGGAGATGAGGCTCGTGCCATGTTTGCTTGCACAGTCTCTGAATCGACCACATATTTCTCCATTCGAGAGTGCCTTCTGGCAAATAATTGTGCTCCTTTTCCACTCATAGCTGGTGGCATCTCAAAGGGTGTCTTTGTTTCTCCAGCACTTGGTGTGACTGGTGTCTTGGGTGTGTGGTTTGGACTCGCTAGCGTTGCCTGAGGCCCTTTGAAAGGACCAGCTAAGTTGAGAGTATTTGGGGGATTGGCAGAAGGAGAATGAGGATACTGTGGGGATTTGAGTGGTGCAGGGTACGCTGCCTGAGGTGATGCTGGAGCTGGGAAAGAAGGAGCCTTGTTAGCAGCCGCAGCTGCAGGTGACCAAACGGGTGAAACTGGGGTACCAGCAGAAGGAGAAACCTTGACTGAAGGCTTTGGAGCAATAGGAGGAGGGGTCTTTTGTTTAGATGCTTGACTCTGCATGAAATTGCAAGCTTCTGCTCCCAAACTGAGGTAGTCTTCTTCAGGTCCTGACTCAAAACCAGCTCCAGTACCCTTTTTGCCTTCTGTGTTGTGTACAAGGGACAACAGGGCAGGATTAGGATTTACTTTGGGTGCTTCTTTGAAAGAGAACATAGGTTTTGATGTGCTTCTTCTCTTTGCCTCTTGCAATATCCCAGTTCTTTTGGCTGGCACAGCAATCCTTTCATCTCTGGATGCAATGCGTTCAGTTGGCTCTGTGAGTGACCACACGGTTGGCGCAGCTTTGCTTGTTGCAGGAGCTGATACAGGTCTGTAAAAATTCTCAGGCGGTGGGCTAACAGAGCAGTAGGGTGGGGGTGCTGGTATATCTGAAAGAGGACTAATGACATTTCTTGTGGGTGAAAATGGTGCTGCTGCTCGGTTTTGAACCCCAGAAGGGAAGGGTTTTGCTGTTCTATTCAAAGATGCTGCTTTTTGAGCATCAGAGGATTGAAAAGAGAGGTTTGTGTCTGGTGCTAAGCCAAACCCATTTTGTTGTACAATTTTACCATGATTCTGGCTCACGTCTGTGTAACTTTTGCTTATGCAGGTCTGCTGTCTTGACATGTCTTCCTCTTTTGTTTGGTAGGCTGAAGAGCTTACTTTCTGGAAGTTCTCTGACATGGTGACTTCCCTTTGCTCCTCTGCATGCACTGTGCGTGCCTTCATCTCCTCTTGCTCAGCTGTGATCTGATCCATTCTCTGCCGTCTCTTGGCAAACATGAGGGCCCCTTTACCTGTGCTCTCTGGAAGCGTCTGCATCTCGTCTCCACTTTTTGTCTTCTTTTCCACCTCAGGTAGACTGCTGTCCCAGTCAAATGTCACAATCTTGCCGTCGTTGTCAATGTCAGAGAAGAAATCTTCATCTATTTCTGACTCACTTGTTGCAAGCAAACTCACTTCAAAAGTGTTTTCTTTGTCCCCCTCTTCACCTTCACCTTCTTCACCCTCGTCTTCGTCACGTTCTAGCTCCCCAGTACCGTAGCTCACTAAAGTATATTTCCTTGCCCTTTGGCGACGCTTCTTGAACATCAACACCCCCTTGGAATTGGGATTGGGAGCTGCTGTCAGCAGCAATGCAATACTTTTACATTTAGATTTGGCTTCTTTGACCTGCTTCTCTGACAGGCTCTCACTTCGCCGGAGTCCTGTGGAAAGAATTGAAGTGCACATTTAATTGCATGCAGCCCACAAAAATGCAAGGATTATATTATCAAATAGTTACACGTCTGTCTATAGTGAAATTTACCTACTGTCCCTCTTCTCCGTATTAAAACATTTATTTTCTTGTGCATGGAGAGGTTGTTATGCTGAAGCTTTGCCCACAGAAGCAACTGTGGTATAAATTCCCCACCCAGCATTCCTTAGTTAGAGGCACACCCATACAAATTCAAAGGCTACATCTCTTTCTTTGCTTCAACAGGAACATCACGTGTGTCCATTTCTAATTTCTTCTATTTTTATTCCTGTAAGTCATCTCAGCAGGAACAGCTGGACAGTATTTTCTTATTTCTTCAATTCAAGTGTTTTACCACAGTTCTAGGCTTACAAAAGAGATCCACAGCCAGCCAGGCCCATGTCTGCTTAACATCTGAGAAAAAATGAAATTGTGTGTTGTGTCTGACGGCGGTAGCAGCTTCTGCCATTTATGAGTTTATTTTACTCATATGCATTTCAGAATGTCTATAATTGATAAAAGTAGGTACCTTTATATGCATTAGCTATTTAAAAGCAAGTATATATCCACAGAGTCATGCAAAGAAACCATTAGCATTAACTTTCAGCCCCCTGGAAGACAGTGGGAGTTTGGCCCCACAGTACACAGTTGTAAAAATGTAAAGCGGATTTCAGTCCTTTAACAAACTTAACTTCTCTGAAACATAATCCAAAATTGTGTTGGATATAACATCTCCAGAATATTTATTTTAAAATGTGGCAAGAATGAATACACATTTAAAAACTTATTGGAGGAGGCTCATCTAACTTGTCAAGAGTATTCACTACCATGCATCAGTAATGTGTATTTCTTAAAGCATAAACCATTGGTTTTCATCAAGTCATGTGGAGCAAGAATATACACAGTTGTAAAGCTGATAGGTGCATTGTATGTCAGCATGACTCTCCCTTTTAAAAAGAAATAATTTAAAGTTGTTCCTGCCTAAATCAATGGTCCCCTTCCAGTTAAATTCAAAAGGAAAAAGTGTGCCACTGATATATGAAAACAGAACAGCACATGATTTAATATCTTCTGCTCTCATAAATAAAGCAAACTGGTTAAAGAAAGTCCTGTGCTGTATTTTCTATTAATGATCCTTTTAGCTATGTCAGAGGATGGAGCCTGATACTTCTCCTATTAAAGAAACTTGGAGTTTTGCCATCATGCCAGATGACAGCATGACTAGACCAATGGTTCTCACAAGAACCTATAAAAGAGAAAAGAGCGCGGTGTCTGTACCAGCAATTTGTAGTATTTTATTTCAAGAGGGCCAAATCACGAAATCCTTGGCTCACTGCTTTGACAAGCCAAATGCTTACAATAGTTGCTGGAGACATTTGCCAAAAGTATGGCCTGTAGCATTAGAGTGACTCTGCAAACAGAAACGGTCACCCTTCAGCATGCAAGTTCCATGCTTTCAAATAAGCTACTTGCATCAGCAGTGACTGTTTTGCTAGGAGGGGGATTCAGGAGATACTTGCAGTTTTGTGGAAAGCAAAAACTGAGACTCTTCATTTTAATTAATAGTGCATCTTTTCCTAACTCATCCCTGTAATTATTTAATCAATAGATTGGCAGAAGAAATATTAATCGGATAAATATAATCTGATAACTATTTACAGATAAAATTTCTGCTGAGATAAAACACCTATAATAAATATTCTTCTGTAGTTTAAACTTAGATGTTGTGTTATAGCTTTTAATTTTACAGAAACATGTCTTGTATGTGTGATATTTGCTGCATGCAGACTATTACCTCGTGATGGCTTTAATGTGTAGATTGTATTTTACAAATAATTATAAAAGCAAATATTTTTATAAGTAAAGTTGATGGTTCCTAATCATAATGTCTGCCACTAGCTTAGCAATAGTTGAGAATGACATAGTTGAGATGGGAAAAATGCAGAATATGTCCTATTTGAAAGAAGAATATATCATGTAATATGTAGTTTGTTCTGTATATTTTTGCCTCATTGGAAAAGCAGTGCAAGTAATTCACTGAGAAAGACAGGCACAGTCCCACAGCTGGTTCTAGCTACACAGCCAAAATGTAGAGTATGTGCACTCTTTTTATATGGTCCATTTAATATGCCAAAAATATGTGGATTCGATACAGACACTTAGGCATAAGTAACTGCTTAATCCACTTGCCAATAAGATACAAATGGTTATCATGCTAAAAATATGCTTACAGAGGAATTAGCAACGGGTTAGCAGGCTAATTCCAACGCTGCATATAAAATAGCTTGTTGCTACAGTATATCATTGCATGCATTCAAGCAGCTTTGCCATACTGTTACTAAATCCCTGGACAGGATTCTTAACATTGTTGGGAAACACAAACAAACAACAAAAACAATAGAAAGGTCCCAGATTAATAAAATAATAAATGATTTTTACATATCTACACTCAACTGATACTGGATTCAGTTTCAAGTGTACTTTCATGTAAATTTCTTGGACAGATTTTGGAGTTGACCTCTGGGTATGGAGTCAGAAGAAATAGTTCACTTTACAGTCTAGAGAAGACTGACAAAACTGAAAGGATCATGTAACAGTTATACATATGCTAGTGTCTGTCAAAATCTCTTCTGCAGACAACATCAAGCTTTTCTAATAGCCTTTTTTATTATCAACTTTTTATTATCAAGAGCAGAAGCATGGCTTTGATTTTAGATGATGGAAATGACGACATAAAGTTTTTGCTGTAAAAGGAGAAATCCACAGGATTCATTTAGATGTGTGTCAGCAACTTTTTTCTTTTTTTTTTTTTTAATATTCTACAGATTTCCTTTTAATGTACATGAGAAGCCCAGCAGAATTCGTCCTTTTTTGGAGATATAAGTCTATTTAGTTGGACAAAGTCATGAGATAATTTCAAAGTGGAAGTCTACCAAGCAAAATTATTCAGCACAGTTAAGGCATGGGTATACACTTAGCTCATCAACAGGAGCCTTGCATTACCTTGGAAAAAAATACATAAAGCAAGAATACAAACACCGTTTAGAAGACAAAGAGAGAGGGAAGTTAGAAAACTGCAGAAAAAAATCTAAACATTTTTTTTCCTAATGCGATCTGAATTCTGAAAAGATGTTTCAAGTTACAAAAGATACCCTTAGGCAGTGTGAATGATTAGATGGGATATACTTACTTGCGTGCCTCGCCCTGTGCTTGAGAGGTCTGTGATCCCTTTCCGAGTGCTGGTTGTCTTCTCCCTGCTCTGTGCCTTCTGGTGAGATTGCAAAGGAGAGGAGGGAAGGAGGTGCTTCTGACTGCCCTCCTTCCACTTGAGAATCAACACACCCCCTTTCAGCTAGAGACCTGGGTGCTTCCTTCTCCCTGTCTGAACAGTCTAGGATCACCTCCACCCTGGGGATAGATGGAGCTGCACCTTGGATCCTCTTGACCTCTTTGCCACTAGAAAATTGGACTACTTTGCTTGACCACTGGATGTTGCCCTCTTTCACACCCAGGGGAATTGCGATTACGGGGTTAGTTCCATCTTCTTGTACAGTGGGTCCTTTCCCTGAAGGGGCACGTTTTTCTGCCCCTAGGACAGTCACAGCAGGAGCATTGGTGCTCTTGTGACCGTCATTTGAGAGGGACAACTGCAACTCAACCATAGTGCCTGGCCTTCTTTCTTCTCTCTTCTCTCTGAGAGCAGACTCATCTGTCACAAGCACTTTGGAGGTGCCTATCACTTTAGGAGCAATTCTGTGGCTTTGTGTGGTCTGTTGTTTCATTTCAGAAAAGTGTATGTTGCTTTCTCCTGCTGCCTGGTGAGTCTCACTGTATATCTCTGTGATGCATAAGTCTCCATGGGGTATTTCTTTGGCTGTATTAATCTGCAGTGTAGCGCTCTCCTTATAGTCCTCATTTTTTATGTTATCATGCTTTCCATTTTCTCTTTCAGCACTCAAAGCTTCATTTATTCCACTGGAGGATCTGCACATACATAAACAAGTAATTCAAGAAATTAAGCTGCTGTAAGTACAGTAATTGTAAGTACAGTTACGAAAGCAACTTTTGTATACTATTTTTCCCCTAACTTAATTGTGGTACCTGGAAGCAGGTCTATTTAAGTAGAAGAATTTTCCCAGTATGTAGAGGTCTTAAATTAAAACATCTTTGTATATTCCAAAATTCTTCGAGTTAACAGTTCGGTAAGAGGGAAATTACATTATTGCTGTAGGATAATAACTATGATCCTACTACCATCCTTCTGCAGTATTGAATCATATCATTTCTAACATCAGTTTGCTTTCACAGATGCATTTTTGTTATAGTGATGCTACTGAGACTTCTAGGACAATACTTCTTCATATTTCATATGTGCATGAGAAAATTTGCATGACACCAAACTGTGCTTTTTTTATTTATTTTTTTGGTTCTGTGGCTACTACCACAACTGCTTTAGGCACCTTCCTCACACACAGTTGCTGTCTCAAGTAGTCTACTCTCTAAGGAACAGATAAGAACTGGATGAGGATAAGAGGGAGGGAGGAAAGGAGAGGAAGGGGATTGAATACTTAAAATACACATTCAAAGAATTCCTGTGAGAATCATCATCCATATATACATCACGGAATAATTTAAACGTTCTGGGCCTGTTCTGGTGATCCAATGAGGCAGGTTACTGAAGCCAGACTGCATTGCCTAGTTATGAAAAAGAAACATATTTCTGACTGGCAAATATGACTGACTTCCTGAAGCCTACTGCGTACCTCACTAACTCCCTTTTTTGAAATATTCATTCCCCTGGTCCAGTTGGGCTGTGTCATTGGTTTTATGACTCTGTGTAGCTTCCTCTTTCAGCACTCTGAAAAGTAGTGACCATACTGACTATTTAGTAATTTAAGAAGAAACCTTTTTTCTGCGCAAGACTGCAACATGCTATTAAGGCTTTCTGTAGACTAGAAGGTAACAAAGCACTTTTTCAAACGAGGGGAGAGGTAGGTACCCTCAGTAAAGTATTCACATTAAATACTATGGTGTTTTCTGAAATCAAAAGCAGGTCCCAACTATTCTGAAACTTTGGAACCCCCTACAAAGAAAGGCTGGAAGAAGCGACAGAAGAAATAAATCTGTCAGTATACTGAAGAAGCTTCAATAACACTTGCATTTCTAGCCATGTGGCATACTGTTTGTAGTAGTGTGTGTCTGCCTCAAATAGCATAAAATGTATAACATCCATTAAACCACATATGGAGCTACATAAAGGTCAGACAGATTTTGATTTAGGGAGCTCCTTGTGGGGGCTGCTGGATTCCATCACATTATGCTATTTGGGTGATCAGTTGCACTGCTCTTAAGTACAGATAAATTATAGAAATCCATAAACATTTCCATGTTGGATATGAGACTGGGGGTGGGTCAGCTAAATGTTAGCCTTTATTGGTAGCTGAGTGATTGTGTGTATGTATGAGAGAGAAAGATTTCCACCTTAAAAGGCCTTTGCTACTTATGGATATACTTCTACTCTATATAGACATAAATGTGTATCCATGTGTCAAGAAGCAGAATACTTGGTCTGATCTCTTTTTTGTTATTTATGATTCTGTTTTGTCAAATTATTTTTGTTTCAGGTCTTTCCAGCTCACTGCAGGAACAACATCCCTGGTATAATTCCAGGAAGGAAGCAGAACTCATGGAGTCAGCACAGCAGGGTTTGTCTCAGAGTCATGTTTTACTCCCTACATGGTGCATTTCATTTTGGTATGCATTGAGCACACTCCCTGCCTACCCCTAGAAATTTTGTTTCTAGACTCAGCAGTAGCCCAGGAGTTGCTAACACTGATGTGAAAAAGGCAGGCCAGCTTTTCTGTCCCCACTCTCAATGTTTCCTGGATACATCTGTTCATGATTTGTTGGAAAGGTCAGTAATATGCTTCCCCACATGGCATCTGGAGGGTGCTTGCCCTGCAGGATGTCTCTTTCCTCTGATCCTGAAAACCAAAGATTTTGTGGGCATTGCTGGTCAGAAACTGACTGTGGTTTACAGGAGATCAGGAAAACATTTCTAGACATCAAAGCCCCAGTAGCATTTCAAAAACTACTTTAAAATCTAATTTTTCTACCAGTGAGTTCAGTAAGAGGCAAATTAGGTCAACAATAAATGCTTTTGAAAGTCTTATCCTTTGTGTAAATATTTCAGGAACAGTCAAAAGTCTTCCAAGAAGAAATACTCTTCCATACTGGCAAAATAAGTTTGGATGCAAAGATTACCATTGGAATACCACTTTAATCAGGCATTCTTCCTTCCTTATGATTTCTAGCCTTTTCATGAGATGGCTACTCAGGAAAGGAATGACTTGCTTCTCATTGTTCTCTAAGAGTGTGATAAGACATTTCCTGAAAAATCCTTCTGGTGGTGGTGTTGATGGGCTATTACCCATAAAGAGTGTGACAAGGGAGCAGAAGCATTTCCGTTCATTCTCCCTGCCAGGGAAGATACTTACAGGAGGTACTGGGAGTTGGGGGTGATGAGCTGATGAGAAGAAATTCACAGATTCTTGTAGTTAATACCTTTAGAACATTTTAGTCACTTTCAGGGCAAGTCAACAGTTGAGCAACTGCAATTTTCTTAAAATTTATCAGAAACACAGTTTCATTCCATGAAATGCTGAATTACAGGTTATAAACACTCTGATTTGAGTCTGATTTTCAGAACACATATCACTGTTCACCATACATTCAAGCAGAAGCAGTGGAGTAAATAGAAGTTGTGCAGGCACTTTCAGCTAGAGCATAATGTGGTTCATACCAACTGAAATGTCAGTTAAAGAGCAGCAGCAAACTAGGAGTCAAAGCATATGGAATTATTTGTATGGCTGCAAAGCAGGCAGCCAGTCAGCCACAAATATAATTTTCACAAGTGCATTTCCAGTTGTCATGCTATGAATTAAAAACATTGGAATGTAGATATCACATGAGAAGCATTCAGATGATACACTGCTGAACCAGAAACAAGAGGTATGCACTATGTAGAAGGTAAGCTGTAATGTTCAGCTATCACTGTTCCCCTGATCTCATCACATTGATCCACTGCTTAGCCGAAAACAAGATGCACACAGGCCATGCAAAATGTCTGTTATAAAAAAAAAGAGTATTCTTTCAGAGTATTTTGTTTTGAAGGCAGATTGTGACTTCAAACTCTGAGACACTAGGAAAAGTTCCCCTTACACAGGTTGCAGAAAACGCAGAGGAATGTCACCTGCTTTTTTCAACATTCCTGGCAATGACAGGCAAGCGCCTTTTTTCAGCAGAGTCCTTTCAGCCTTTCCAGTGACACTGCTATGTTAGCTGTTGTGATGAATCCTGGCCCTGTCTGTCCTCCTACTTCTACATGTGTGAGAACAGATACAGGGAACTGCAGCAGCTCAGCAGGGAGCCATAATTCCTTACAAGGAATGGGAAAGTCTAAGGTCTTTTCTTCCTCTTTTAACCCACGCTGAAGGCAGTTCAGACTTCATATTATATGAATGCACAAAGTTTTGGAAGAATGTGCTCACTGTTGGTGGTTCCCAACTCAGGACAGCATATGTTAAACTGATGACCATTACAGAACCCCCTAGGAGTAGACCAATATTCAGTGAGCAGTAATGCTTGCTTGCTCATAAATTCACATGAAGGTTCTCTACTCTAAGAAGCTCAAAGCATTTTCAAAAAAAAAGTAAAATTCCCTATCACCAATTTATAAATGGAGAAGCTGAGATCCAGAGAGCTGTAAGTGTCTTGCCCCACCTCATCTAGTGAAGCGATAACGGTTACAAAAATAGAATTCATGATTTCCAGACCCTCTCACCCTCCTGACTACTCACACATTTTGCCACCCAAGACGACCATTTGCCATGTCATCATCAAGGCATATCTATGTAACACACTTTCTCCATCTGTACAGCCTTTGCTTTTTGTAAGCCTCACTTCCCTATCTATGGGGAATAACAGCACTTCACTACTTCAAAGGGGTGGAGAGAATATTGAACTCAAGACTCTGCAGTATGCAGATACAGTAGTGGACACCTTGTAAGAAGCAAGGACGGTTAATAAGAAATAAAATTGTTATATTTGGAGACTGGATTCTTAATTCTGTGCCTGAACTATGCTGTTTGAATTATATACTTAATTCCTTCAGATAAAATACTCTGTCTTCCCTCGCTTTTCCATACCAACAGATTTACAGACACAAATAAGAGAGCTATCAGAAGCTCACAGTAGAAGTCTGCAAAATGAGTGCATTCAGCACCAGCATTTTCCACATGGTTCACCAAACAGAATCGCACCAAAGCATTCTGAGCATTCCTGTACCTCTTGATAAGCATCTGCAGGACGTCAGTCAAGCTTTCCATCAGAACGATAACTTCAGCATAGGTTAAGTCTCCACAGGGTTTGCCATTGATAGACACCACCTCATCCCCCTCACAAAGGCCAGCTTTAGCTGCTTTGCTTTTGCTGCGGACCTACAACAAGTCAAAAACAAAATTCCAAATTGCACAATTAGTGTTTATTTGAAAACAGCAGCAATTATGTCCCCAACTTAATTTTATCTGTACGAAATGAAAAGATCAGTGTTACAGATCAAATACAAATTTCTGGTAACACAAAACAATAACTTGTCCCATTTGAAGTTAATACTGCTCTGGCCAGTAATAACAAATACAAAAACTTCTGCTTTATTGAGCTTGTGAGCTAGATGTCAAGAAGGATGGACTTTTTTTTTTTTTTTTGAGAAAAGGCAGACATGGAAGTTTGGGACACCAATCAATCAGAGTCTAGCAGAAAGGCAAAAAATCTTAGTAACTTCAAAATGGAAGACTACAAGAGCTGAAATCCAGGACAAGATTTCAAAAGAAGAATGTATAATGTCGTGCTACTCTAGGCAGAATGTCAACACCTGCATGCTATTAGGGCTGTACATGTACGGATTTCTGATATACTGGATACTTTTCCTTAGGTGCCCAGCCATAGGTTTAGTTGCCAAATTATAAACTTCTGAATCACTGAAGTCCTAAATCCATGTTTAGCGATCTGAATAAGTTCCTTGATTTATTAAAAATTAAGACATGACTGTTAGGGTTCAATCTTCCCCATTAAGTACTCATTCAATAATCTGTGAAGCTTGGTTTTTGCTGTTTCACTCCTTTTTCCATTGACAGCATGTTATAACTTATCATAGTTTGTGTATAACAAAGCCTAGACAGCCTTAACACCACTCAAGGTATGCCATACAGTTGACTGCTATTTTTAAAATACATATTTGGCAAACAGTACATTATTATTAACCAGGATACTTGCAGGAATATTTTAGAATGACACATACACATAAAAGGGTTGTCCTTGGGTTCTTTTCTCTGTATCTTTTATCTGTTTGTGTGAGTACTTTGGCCTTAGACAATACTCGATTGATAGGTCAGTACATTATCCAATGTGTTACAATGATTAATAAAATCTTCAGAGTATTTTCTTGAAAATTTTATAGAAATAGCATAGCTCTATCACACTCAGAACAGCAGTCAGTCCCCACTGACTCTAGGAGAGTTACTTCTGATATATACTGGTCCTGAGCATCTAGTAGTCCCAGAGACCTATGGAATTATCCCCAATATCCTGATAGGCTAGGGTCTAGGAGTCATTTCTGGAGGCTATTTTGAAGTTTCTTGAAGTCAGAATAAAGTGTAGAATGAAGAGTGAGACTGAACATATTTTTCTGTGGTGGGGCCATAGATCTTTGTTGTTTCGATTTATGCATACCTGTATGTCATATTATGGCTTTTTGAGCAGTGAAGAAACAGATGGCTGGTGCATACAGAAGCTGGTTACTACCTTGCAGGGGAGTTAACATTTACAAATATGGAGTGGTATGCTGCTGTGTTTATCTTCCCTTAGGCAAGAACATAAACATCCTTGTACTTTGGGAAGAAATGAGTTTAGACAGTCATTATTGTTGTGCTTCATATATGAACTAGGATTTAGGTTAATTTTTTGTTATTGTTTTTTGAAATTGGAAGCTATGCTGTTAAAATTTTACAGGGCACCCCAAGCCTGAATATAAATACTTAATGTGGATGCTAGGAAGAATGTAGAGTGACCCTTTTTCTAAAGACATGTGAACAGTAATTATAGTAACACGTGAATACAGAAATAGTGTAAGATGATACCTATGATGTGAAAAGAAAGCTTGTTTCTGATTCTTTATTAAGTGTCTGAGAATATGGGGTCAGTTCTGCCATAGATCATTATTACAGCTGTCTAAGGAGAGAAATTGTTACACATTCCATAACTTCAGTGATTTATGTCAAAAAGTACATACGTGCAATGTTAGTACATCTATATCAATTATACACAGCTCAAACAATTTTATTATTTTTTAACAGACTCCTTGGTAGCATTCAAAGAAAATAGACCAGGACATTGAGCTTCTTTTTACTGTTCTTGAAAGGGCCCTTCAGTCCTTCCTTTTTCTCCCTCATGAATTGCTGAAAGATCACAAGTTCTGAGATACTTGGACCTTTGTAAGAAAATTCAACCCCTTCTTTGACTGGACATGCAGGAAAGAAATTGATGTAAGTCACTATACATCACTGTCTGGTTCCATTGCAGTTCATATGCACATTAGGGCAAATTTCCTATCCATATTATATTTCCAGGTTTATCTACATAAATCAAGTCTTCAACATGATTTTACCATCACAAAATCACACTGTGCATGCTGTACCTATTGATGGTTCTCCTGACTGTGTCAGCCTTTTTCTCAGCCCCTCCCCAAGGCACCTGTGCCTCCTGAATTTGAACAATGTTAATGTAAGGTAACCTCAGTATTACCCTGTTTTTGGTGTTTCTTTTGGGGGAATAAAAGGGAGGAGAGAGCACTCACAAAAAACAAGCAAGGGATTGTATAGCATATTATAATAGTAAGTTTTAGCAGGTTGCTGCTAGGGTAGAAATACACCATCATCATTTGTACTGCTTTAGTCTCAGGATATGACCAGGTTACTCAGCAACATGTAGACTGTCTTACCAGACAAGCTGTAATCATTTTGGATGTTATTTATTTGTCTTCACTGGAAACCCACAAAAATGACAAAAATAATTTATTTGTGTAAACTTTTTTTTTTCAGATTTCTGAAAAAAAAAAAAAAAAAAAAGATTTGTGGAAACTAGGATCTTCCTGGTAAAGGAGTCACTTAATGAATGGTTTTCTCTCAAAGGAAGTTTTGGCAGGAAGCCTTTGGCCAGCTCACTGGGAAATGGAAGCTGCCTTTGTTACCAGAAATACAGTTTGGCCACAAAGGGAACAGTAAGACACCTTTACCTGGTTCTTGGGACCTTAAAGCAAGGCACATATGATGATGAAGCAGAAGAGATTCTTCCAAAAGCAGTGATTTCTGTTGCCTTATACTGCAGCACAAGCTTCCCCAGTTACTTGTTGCCTGTCTGCTTTGGGATGGAATTTTCCTTGGGAAGGACAGATGTGGTTTTTCTCCCCATAATTTATGAATGGGATCTCACTACTAGAAAAATATGTTTGTAAAAAAAAAATCATAGTTTTTCAGTACTTGCAGTACAGGCATAACACAGCAAAGCTGAGCCTGTACCAATATACTAATATTGTATCGATATTATTATTATTTATTACTCAAGTTGCATATCATGCTTTTATTAGACTGTTTTTTCTTCTAATCACAAAATTTCCAATGAAGTGGCAAAGGAACTATCTACTCCCAATTCCAGAATTTTTGAGGAAATTATTTTAGAGGGTGTATGTGCCTTGCAGTAGTACTGATCTTTCTTGGTCAATGCTGCACATGTTTTGCCCATAAGGAATTGTACATTTCTGATTTCTTAAGTCTTAAAGTGGTTGAATATATTTAAAACAAACAAACAAACAAACAAAAATAACTTTGTCATTAGCCTTGAGATTATTCTGAGTCAATTGTTATAATATTTTCTGATTTCAGGTTTCTAGATTGCTGCGCTGCTAGAAGATTTGAAGAGCAGCGCTGGATTACTTGGACAGTTTACCTGAAGTACGTCATTTATATTTATTCCCAAATAACTCCCACGTCTAGAATTTCTCACTAGCAGGAATTCTACTAGCTCCTTAAAATGTCTAGTGCTGGACAATTCTTCATATCCACAGAGAAGTTAATCTTAGGAAAAACTTTTGTGAAGAACTTAGCCTACATTCTTGTTATCTGAGCACCACAGAGGGGCCAGAACACCACTGTGCACTGTGAGCCATCTGAAGAAGCAGTAGCACTCCTCACCAGGGCAGAAGGCCCTGGGGGAAGGGGGGTGGATGGCTCCTCCCTCCCTTCACCTGGTACCTCATCACACGCAGCTGCTGCAACAGGGGACTAGGGCTCTCCAAAGGATTTTCAGGAGTCTCTAAAGGCTAGAAACTGAGTAAGGCATCAGGAGGGTCAGATCTTGGTTATCAGCAGTTTGATTTAACGGGAGATTATTGGTGTGAAAGGCTGATAACAGAGAATGTGTTTCTCTCTATTTCTTTCCCTTGTGGAGGAAAAAGTAAGTGGCCTGGCAGAACCAGGAAGAAGCAAGGAACTGAGCCTGGGGACTGCTGAGGTGGGGCTGTGGGTCTGGGTGTAGTGGTGCACTGATGAGAGGTAACATCCCAGAGGCACAGGTATGTGGGGGGAGAAGTGTGGTGTAGTAACTTACTGTGGGTTGGTGGTAGCTGCTGCCTGATGCTGGTATTGGGGCAATTGTGAGTGCTTGCAGGAAGTGGCAATTTGCAGTAAGTCAGATTCTTAACCAGCAAAAGATGGATAAATTGGGGGAATATGCTGTAGCTGTTCTCACACTAGTACATGGCACGAGAGAGGTTTTGTAGAAAAAGCCAATGCTGAGTGCCCAGCCTTCATGCTGTTCACTACAGTGGTTTTACTTTAGATGAGCTCTAGCCCTATTATGTGGCCTGAAGACCCCTTGCCAAGTACCATGTGTTAGATGTGCTCCTTTGATTTCATCTGAAAGCAGTTCGGTTTATACAACCCAAAGCTCTTCCATGATACCAATCAACGTGGTAAGAAAGGATAGCAAGGAAACTTACTGCTGCAAAATGTAGCCCTGGTGAAGATAAAAAGCTAAATTAGATGCACCTGTTATTTGTTGTGGGCTGCAAGTGAATGCATAGACAGCAACTGGGGCTCAGTTTACCAGCTGATGATCTAGGTTGTGCATCTGAGCCCTATAATATGAAGATCAGAATGCTGATGTATGTTGAACCTGATAATGAGGTCACTGTAGTTTAATGCAAGGCAGTTGCACTCATAGATGCTCAGTAGTCCTGGTACTCCAATTGCCCAACTAAGACATGTATTGGAATACTTCATAGTGTTGTTTGTACCAGTGACTTCTTGGAATGATATCTAATCTTATTTTGGTCTGCTGCTAGGACCACAAACCTCTATGTAGGAAAAGTGTCTAAGTCGTGTGCTTGAGACATAGCCCAGCTGTGCATTTGCTCTGAATGAGAAGCGATGTCAGCATGAGCATAAGCCATTTAGCCTATTCCTTTATCTATTAAAAGTACGACTTTTGCAGCTCTAAAACATACGTATATTGGCACAAGTATATTCTGAATTCAAAGAAAGCTTTCCAAAACTTATTATTCTCACAATTATTTAGTGATCCTTTTCCAGTTTACCAGCAGCAAACAAATAGCAGAAAATGTTTCCATTGGATACAGTGGAAGTACACTTCCCCACAATTTTTGTTCCTTGCTCATACGTATGGCGTTGTTTCTTTAATCAAAGGGTCAACTCTGTAAGACTGTCTTCAATTGAATATCCTGTCTAATTCCTGAAGCTTTTTCTGAACTGTTGTGTGGCTCTCAGGCTTGAAGCCAGTGTCATTGGGCCTTATTTAGGTGTGTAAGTCCTCAGTGAAGCCACAGTTCACAGTGTTGATCTTGAGCCTTTGATGGCTCAACATGTTTCATTATGATGAGACAAACATATGTTGCCCACAATAGCAGAGCTCACCAGGCAAATGAGATTTCTGTAGGTCAGCTGCTCGTTTATCACTGTTGTTCACTGCTTTAGTTACATCAGCTGCAAACTTTACCAGCAGTGACTTTGTGGTTTCTTTTAGACTGATGACTGAACATCAGTAGCAAAGTGGGGTTAATAGGGATTTGTCCTTGGACTACTGTTTTGCCCCTGTTGAACAATGATTTCCAATTTAAGGTTACTTTTTCAGACCTGATAACTAGCCAGCTTTCAAAGCAGTATTTTTTGCTGCAGTAGTAATCAGTGCCCTTAGATGTCTTGCCAGCATCAGTAATGCATAACTGTGTTTAAAAACTGTTAAATAGGTTGTTTTTAATGAAAATAATGATTAACCTTAATCTGGGGATTACAAACAACCCTAACATTGTATAGTCTCTTCAATCTCGCTATTACCTAACAGAGTAGCTTTGTTTAAATGTGCCTGGACTTGAGATCTTTAAATTTTTCTCCCACTGAAGTGGTGACCTATTTTTTGTTTAGGGAAAAAAAAAATCAGTTTAGGCCTTTCCATTATACAGAAATTGCATAATAAGTGTTCTATTTTATAAGTAGTTTCTACCTACCTGCAACGTTGCAGGATTTTCTGCATGTACCAATAAAATTTTGGCATCTTAACTAAGGGCAACATAGTACTGCCACAATTAAATGCTTATCGGCTAGTTGCTATAATAAATTTAGCTAACTAACATGTTTCTCTTATTTATGCTGGCCTTAGAGATATTTAAGTTAATGTAATCAATACTTAGTTTAATTTTATTGAGCATTAGCTCATACTTTCCAGCAGTTACATTTCTCATTAATTGATTAGCTAGATGTTAGTCATGAAGTTCAAGATCAGGGATCAAAGATCAGTGTTTCCTGTGTACAGCCTTTAAAAAACAGGGAAAAAACAAACAAAAAATACTTTGTCTCTTCTATTAACAACCCTACAGCAAAAGCAGAGGCTAGTAAATTTATTTAAGTAGAATTAATGATTTGCAGTGGTTTATTATGAACAGGAAGCAGAAGCACAGACTGCTGTAATTGCTAGTGTTTCTAACAGTATGAAATTAAGGAATTAAAAATAAAGTTACGAATGAATTCAGGTATGCTTTATCATAAATTGTAGGCCTAGGGCTTTGCTGTATGACATTTATGCACACAGAAGTCTTTTAGACAAAAAAAAAAAAAAAAAAAGTAACTTTTAGTTAGAAAGCATTTCATTTTTTAGACAGACAGAAACATCTCTACAGTAAGTTAGGCCTACCTGATAATAGGTTTGGATTTTGGGGGATCTCTCTAGATCTTTTAAGTACGTTTCCCAACCTGACAGACTTCAGGCTGGTAAGCATTGATCTTGTTAAGACAAAATCTTCGATCTCAGCTCATAAACAACTTAATGCAAAGCAGCATTTACTGGTACTCCTCAGTCCAGAGCACCAGCCCTTCCAGCAGCAGTGTTCTGACCCTTCCCAGGGAGGTGGTGGAACGTGTGTGAGATACTCTGTAAACACTCGATCAGTAGAGGAGATGCAGTGACAAGCTCACCTCAACTCTTTTTTTTTTAACCCAGGCTCACAATGAGAACAACCTAATGGAATTCCATCTTAATATTTTCTTTCCCATCCCCAAGCTTTGCCTTCAAGCAGTAGTTTTTCATTAATAAGAGCTATGCATATGACAAATTATAAGATTATGGACTGTGTCAACCCAAGTCTTTAGAAAAAGGGGCCCTGTTTCTCCTTTGCTTCTAATACCTATTAGTACCCACACAAAAATTCAAATATGAGTTCTCTGTTCCCAAACAATGAGGGGGAATCTGGGGGAATGTACGTAGAATTTGCACCCTAAGACTAGTGAAAGCATGCAGAAGTGTGTTAAATGATTAAGTTGAACAAAGATACTTCTAAGCTATCTCCTGAATGGTTTTCCTGGGAGCAAGCATTGAATAATGAAATATCCTTAGCTTGCAAGTTAAGCACTGAAATATTTCCTTAACCAAATTTTTTCCAATAGCAGGATAATGATATTGGGAATTTGGCAGGTCTGCATATGCTTTTTTGCTTCTGGTCTTAAGGAGAAGCTTCTAGACAGAACCACTGTTGTAGAGATTGCATTTATGAATGTCTATGAAGTCAATTATCTTTCTAAATTATTTTTTAAATGGGAAAATATGGCGTTAGTGAGGTCAAAGAAGAAAAAAGTTAGTGCATTCAGGTATGTTTTTGTTAGTTACTGTTCTTTAGTGTCTGATACAATTCTTCAAGTGTCAGATTAAATCTAAAAAGTCCTTCCAGAAGATGAGGTAGGATATTGCTCTTTGAGTTCATGGGAGTGCTGCCATTGATTATCACCAAGATCATCATTAGAAAAGTTGAACAGCGATATAATGTTATGCTAGTTTATGGCAAAAAATATGTGCTATAGGATGTTAAACTCCATAAAGTCAAGGCTCTTTTTAACTTTAAAACCGATTGATCTAGTTTCCTGGAAGGTTTTGGGTTCTTTTACCAACCCACAGCTAAAGCAAAATTTTAATCATGGTGTATTCATGTAAAAATTCATGGGATATTCTTGCAGAGGGGTGATGGTATCATCTGATTATTAGTTATTGTATAACTCTGTCTCCAGTCAGTCCTCCAGTGGGTGAAATTACACTTCTTGAGTGCACTGGTTCAGTCTGCTAACTGTTGTCTCCTCCTTGCCATAATGTGAGAAGTACATACATGTGTATAAAGGTACAGTTCTCTTAATGGTAATTTTAACAAATGCAGAAGAATCAATTTATTTGGTACAGCTTATACATACTGTTGTGGAAGGGTTAAAGAACATGTTTGACCAGTTGTGTATTGACGGAGAACTTACTTCATTTGGAACCACAAAGCAGACTGATCTCAGTGAAAAGAAAAGCTTGCTCAAATTCCCCAAAGCTATGCTTAATGTGCTAGTGTATCATCTTGCTAGTGGTTGCCCTTCTCTGGCAGAAATCCAAAGCTAGCAGCTGAAGAAGGGGT